TGAGAGTGATGTGTGAGAGTGCTGAGTGCTGTGTGTGAGTGTTGTGTGTGATAGTGCTGTGTATGTGTGTGAGAGTGCTGTGTGAGAGTGCTGTGTGTGTTGTGTGTGAGAGTGCTGTGTTTGTTGTGTGTGAGAGTGCTGTGTGTGTTATGTGTGAGAGTGCAGAGTGTGATGTGTGTGAGAGTGCTGTGTATGATGTGTGTGAGAGTGCTGAGTGTGAGAGTGCTGTGTATGATGTGTGTGAGAGTGCTGTGTATGATGTGTGTGAGAGTGCTGAATGTGAGAGTGCTGAGTGTGAGAGTGCGGTGTATGATGTTTGTGAGAGTGCTGAGTGTGAGAGTGCTGTGTATGATGTGTGTGAGAGTGCTGTGTGTGAGAGTGCTGTGTATGATGTGTGTGAGAGTGCTGAGTGTGAGAGTGCTGTGTATGATGTGTGTGAGAGTGCTGAGTGTGAGAGTGCTGTGTATAATGTGTGTGAGAGTGTTGAGTGTGAGAGTGCTGATTGTGAGAGTGCTGAGTGTGATGTGTGAGAGTGCAGAGTGTGATGTGTGAGACTGCTGTGTATAAATGTGTGTGTGTGGGGGTGTAAATAAACAAATAAAAAACTATGGGGGGTAAATAAAGAAATACAAAAAAAAACTAAGTAGGCATTAAATCCCCCCCTCCCTCTTACCTTTAGCCTGGGAGGGGGGGACAGGCACGTGGTAGCTGGGAGGGGGGACCGGCACACTCACATCATCCCTGGTGGTCCAGTGGTGAAGATCGGCGCGTTGCCATGGCAATGCGCCGGATCTCGCGAGAGGAACCGGGCGGAGCTACAAGATAGAGCTCCGCCGGGTCCTCTCCCTCCCTCCCCAGCCGCAGGTCTGTTTAAATGGGCTGGTGAGGGAGAGCTTTGATCTCCCCACCGGCCCTCCATGGCAAACAGCGGGGCCGGCGCTTGGATAGTGCCGGCCCTGCATAGACCGGCAGGGGAGATCCTGGGACCTCCCCTGCCGGCCTCGGCCCATGGCCACCGCGGCCCACCGGGCATTTGCCCGGTGTGCCCGATGGCCAGTCCGGGCCTGCATGGGTGCTGTGCCTTTAATCAAAAGACCTACACATTCCCAGTGCGTTAGAGCACCCAGCTAACCTAACTACAGCTACCACTAGCACTGTGTCGCAGCCTGATATGTCTAATATGTTACTCCTGCTATAATGTAAAAATGTGCAATGTTTCTGATGCTACAATATTGTTACTGCATGTTTCCTTTATGTTTGCACCAGCTGTCGTGGCAGTGCAAAACTGCTTGTTAACTCGATGCACAAACAAAATAAAGAATTTAACAAATAAAAAAATAAACAGAGTGGTTTTATTTTAAGCAGACGTGCATTTGCATATTATCAATGTTTTAGTCCAACTACCATGACATATTAAGGAAAGTTTAGTAATGGGATTGAAATGGTGAATGTTTGCTGTTACACAGCTATAAAAAAAGAAGTTATCTTGTTTATGTCCTATGAGTGTGGACTTTGAATATGTTATTGTGCTGGAGTGTGCAACCCAGCAACAAGACTGGGCCAATACATGCCCATTACATATATGTTATATATTAAAGGGACACTATAGTCAGCAGAACAACTTTCGCTTAATAAAGCAGTTTTGGTGTATAGATCATGCCTAAACTCCACTGCTCAATTCTCTGCCATTTAGGAGTTAAAACACTTTTGTTTCTGTTTATGCAGCACCCGCCACACCTCCCAGACTGCATGGAAAAAATGGTTTCATTTTAAATCAGATGTAACTTACTTTGAAAGTTTTTATCTCCTGCTCAGTAAATTAACTTTCACCACACACGGATGCTCCGGCAGGGTCTAGCAAGCTATGAACAGACCTGGAGATAAGAAATTCTAAGCTAAACAATATTTCCAGTAAAGGAAGTGTAAACATTAGACAAGTCTTTACAGGAAGTGTTTAGAAAGGATGTGTAAGTCACCTGCAGGGAGGTGTGACTAGGGCTATATAAACAAAGTGTTTTAATGCCTAAATGACAGGGAATTGTGCAGTGAGACTGCAGGGGCATGATCTAGACATCAAATCTGCTTCATTAAGGTAAGTTGTTTTGGTGACTATAGCGTCTCTTTAATGACATTTCTGTGGGTATGATGCATTTATAAATGTATATTAATATATGTGTAAATATTATAGGTATAATTATATATATTACTAATACACACATTCAAATAAATATATATATATCTATGTGTGTGTGTATTACTGTCGGAATCACATAAATTACATCACATAAATTGCTAGCAAAATGTATATATTGGAAGAAAAATCTATTTAACAAGAGGTCTTTCTCTCACCTGTCAATTATCTCTTCGGCATAGACTCTTGTGCTGAAGAACTGAATTTCAGGGAGAGCAGGAGACATAGGTGAAATGCACCCCCCCCAAAAAATGCATCTTCTCTTCTGTTTATCTTAACTCTCTTTTGAATTTCTTTCCGTTTTTGTGTTTGTTATTCCCTCTTTTGATTTTTTGTTTTACCTTGTTTAGTGCATCTTGCCTTCAATTTTTCTCTTTTGTGCCTCTTAAAACACCCCTTGTGTGTCTCTTTCAACTACCCTTGTATATCTTTTACTTCATCCCAGACCCTGGGTGCCTCTTTTTACCCTTCTCCAGCCCTCTCTCTGTCTCTTTCCCCCCAGCCCCTTTGTCTGTGGCTTTGTCCCCCCAACAAACCTTCTGTGTGTTTCTTTGTCTCCCCCCCCGTCCCTCTGTCTCCCCTAGCCAAGCTTTGCCCCCCACAAACTTTCTGTGTCACTTTGTCCCCCTCTCTTCTGTGTGTCTCTTTGTTCCCCCAACAAACCTTCTGTGTGCCTCTTTGTCTCCACCCAGTCCCTCTGTGTGCCTCTTTCTTCCTGCAGCCCCTCTGTGTCTCTTTCTCCCCCCTTCACTGCTCCTCTGTGTCTCTCTCTTCCCCCTCTGTCTCTTTTACCCTCCTCCGTTTGTGTCTCTTTCTTCCCCAATCTGTCTCTTTGTCCCCCTCCCTCTATGTCTTTCTCTTCCCCCTCTGTCTCTTTCTCCCCCTTCCCCTGTCTCTCTCTTCCTTCTCTGTCTCTTTCTCCCCTCTCTCTATCCATGTCTCTCTCATCTCCCTCTGTTTCTTTTCCCCCCTTTGTCTCTCTTCCCCCTCCCCTTTTGTCTCTCTCTTACCTCTCTTTCCCCCTCCCATGTTTCTCTCTTCCCCCTCTTTTTCACCCATTGTCTCTTTCTCCCCCGTGTCTCACTCTTCCCCCACTGTTTCCACCCTATGTCAATCTTCTCCCTCTGACTCTTTCTGCCCCCTCCCTCTTTGTCTCTCTCTTCCTCCTCTTTCCCCCTCCCACCTGTCTCTATCTTACCTCTCTTTCTCCCTCTGACTCTTTCTGCCCCCTCCCTCTTTGTCTCTCTCTCCCTCCTCTTTCCTCCTCCCACTTGTCTCTATCTTATTGATTTTTTTTTTGATTGGGTAACTAAAATTATAGATCAGGGTGGTGCAGTAGATATTGCTTACCTAGATTTCAGTAAGGCTTTTGACACTGTTGCACATGGAAGGCTTATCAATAAACTGCAATCTTTAAGTTTGGATTCCAATATTGTTGAATGGGTAAGGCAGTGGCTGAGTGACAGGCAACAGAGGGTTGTAGTTAATGGAATATATTCGAAGCTTGGAGGGATAAGCCAAATGGCAAATGATTTAGGTAAACTAGAAAAATGGTCAGAATTGTGGCAACTGACATTTAATGTGGATACCGGTAAGTGCAAGATAATGCATCTTGGACGTTAAACCCCAAGGGCAGAGTACAGAATATTTGATAGAGTCCTAACCTCAACATATGAGGAAAGGGATTTAGGGGTGATTATTTCTGATGACTTAAAGGTAGGCAGACAATGTAATAGAGCAGCAGGAAATGCTAGCAGAATGCTTGGTTGTATAGGGAGAGGTATTAGCAGTAGAAAGAGGGAAGTGCTCATGCATTGTACAGAACACTGGTGAGACCTCACTTGGAGTATTGTACACAGTACTGGAGACCGTATCTTCAGAAGGATATTGATACCTTAGAGAGGGTTCAGAGAAAGGCTACTAAACTGGTTCATGGATTGCGGGATAAAACTTACCAGGAAAGGTTAAAGGATCTTAACATGTATAGCTTGGAGGAAAGACGAGACAGGGGGGATATGATAGAAACATTTAAATACATAAAGGAATCAACACAGTAAAGGAGGAGACTATATTTAAAAGAAGAAAAACTACCACAACAAGAGGACATAGTCTTAAATTAGAGGGACAAAGGTTTAAAAATAATATCAGGAAGTATTACTTTACTGAGGGGGTAGTGGATGCACGGAATAGCCTTCCAGCTAAAGTGGTAGAGGTTAACACAGTAAAGGAGTTTAAGCATGCGTGGGATAGGCATTAGGCTATCCTAACTATAAAATAAGGCCAGGGACTAATGAAAGTATTTAGAAAATTGGGCAGACTAGATGTGCCGAATGGTTCTTATCTGCCATCACATTCTATGTTTCTAGGTTTCTTTCTGCCCCCTCCCCTGTGCCTCTCTCTTACCCCTCTTTCTCCCCCATTGTCTCTTTCTCCCCCCTCTGTTTCCCCCCTCCTCCTGTCTCTCTTCACCCTGAGTCTTTCCTGTCTCTCTCCCACTCTGTCTCTTTCTCCCCCTCCCTCTTTCTCCCCCTCCCCTTGTGTCTCTCTTCCCCCCTTTTTCTCCCCCACATCCTCTGTCTCTCTCTTCTCCACCTTTCTCCCCCTCTGTCTCTCTCTCTTCCACCTATGTCTCCCCATTACCCCTCTGTCTCACTCTTCCCCCTGTGTCTCTCTCTTCTCCCTCTGTCTCTTCCTCCCCTTTCCCCCACTATTTCTCCCCTTCACCACCCCCTGAGACTGACCTTGTCTGAAATCGTTTCTAGAGCTCTGGGAGTACAGCAATGCGCTGTTGTCTCTCTCTCTCCATCCTGCTCCCTCTCAGTTCCCACAATTCCCAGCATGGGCACATCATAAAGTAATTACTACTCTATTGTGTGGCTGTGCTGGGAATTGTGGGAACCGTGAGGGAGGCTGGAATGCACAGAAGTGCGTCATATACATCACTTCAGTTTAGCCGATCTCGGTATTCCGATCAGCTGTGATAACAACGTGAACTATCCCTTATCAAGAAACAGGTGAAAAGGAATTGAACACCACCAATGATGTGAATGGAATGGAAGACGCCCACTGGAACCACCAATGGACTAGCCCTATTTAATGAGACTGATGGGAGGGTGGAATTAGGCTGCTTTTTTGGGAACATTATTGTTATAATTGTTTTTACTAAATATTGGTCTCTGAGGAAGTCCCAGAAGTGGGACGAAACGCATATGACCATTTTTTTCTTTTTAATTGTATTTTTTATACTACCAATAAATCCCTTTTTAACCTATCTACCTGTGGGAGTCCTGCATGGTTCCTGATACTGGGTAATACCTGATCCTGAGACACTACCTCCCCAAGACTACCCCCCTGGGGGAGCTACAATCAGAGCGCATATTACTCCTATTTCTTGTGAGTGCAACCTATAGCAGGGAGTATTATATTTCCACTACTGTATAACGCTATGTTCTTTTTATTTGTTCTTTTTTAGGTATATCAGCTGAATCCCATGTGTATTATATATTTTTTATAGGTAGACTGGTACCAGGCTTGGGGCATAGACCTATCCCACCCAGCATTTGTCCTTTCTCCTACAGGAAAATGTAGCAAAGAGCCAGCCTTTCCTTCAAGCACTACCCTGAATAGTAGTGTGTCACGGCCCCCGGCTCGCCGCCATGTGCATCCGTGCCCGACCGGCGCGACCGCACCAACTCACTGAGCTTACCTGCTCAGCGGCGAGCCGGGAACCTTTCCTCCACGCCACTCGGGGAAATCCAAGATGGCGCCGACCATGAGGTCGCATCCATCCATGGCTCCACCCCAAAATTATACGAACGTACGCGTGATGTCACAACGTCAATGCACACGCACTGTCTGGGGTCAGAGGTCACCCTCTGACCAATCAGAGCCTAGAGAGGGATATTTAAATCCCTAATTCACCCCAGTACCTTGCCCTGTCGTGGTTTCCTGTTCCTGGTTCCCTAGAGTGGGTTTATCTTTGTGAATATTACTTCCTGGTATCCTGATCTTGGCTTTTCCTTGGTTATTCCGAATTCTGGTTCCCCTGACTTGGCTTGTTTAAACGGTATCTAGGTATTTCTGGCTTCCTTGACCTCGGCTTTCCCTTTGACCATTCTCTATCTCTAGCATATTAGTCCGGCCATTCCAAGGTCCGGTTTACACTCTGTCCTTTTATTTCCTTTCCTTTTTTATATATATATGTTTACATAGTTTCTGCGTGTTGGACCACACTAGCAGCCGTGACATAGTGCCAAGTATTTTCCAGAGAGAGATAGTTTCAGCAGAAGTTCCTCTGCAAATATCAGCCAGACACTTGATAAAATGGGGAATAGTCCAGCTTAATTGAAAAACACACAGGGTTTTTATACTCGTCTTTATTTGTACAGTGAACACAGGTAAACCAATAACACCAACATGTTTAATTAAATTGAAGTCAGAAAGTATTGAGCATCATGTTTATAAAGAAGGGTGGAGAAAGACAATGACAAGGACAACATGTGAGACTTCATGGTGTAGCAGGACAGCCAATTTGAACTGATCTGGAAGCCTTCTTTTGGAACAATGCTGGAAGAGCAACAATGCAGGGACAGAGAAGGAAGGAAACAGTCCAAAATACAATCTAGAAAGTCAAAACCATTTTAAACATGATAGTTGTCTACAGTAACTACTGATTTCATTTACAGTAACAACAGAGGGTCCATCGTGTAAAGGAAGGATGCTGACCCCCATGATCCTCCACATGTCATATTGTCTCTGTCTTACTGGCCTTAGTTGACATGGGAGGGCAGTTTCATAGGATAGCCATTCAAAAGTGGGGAAAATTCGGTTACATAGGGGATGCCCACATTACTGGTCCTAATACTTATACCACGAGAATTTCAAAAACTCAAAATATAATTACTTACTCTGCTCAGAGATATTACTTAATGCATCTTATGCTTTATCCTGAAAAATGTCAGAAAAGCTTTTCTTAACTCACACATTATCTTTTGGCAGGGACCATATCCTGAACCTGGGGATCTCATTGAATTCTTCCGCACAGTGTACCAGCATTGGGGAATTTATGTGGGAAGTGGACATGTTGTACATTTAACAGGTAATTGTTATCGCTGCATTATTGCAATAAAATAAACACACACACATTGTGGAGACATGGAAAGGCATTAGAGCCAAAGATACATAAGCCAAGTAGTACCATGGAGAAATGAAACCTTAACAGTTTATAGGTAATACACATTTTATCCGTTAACTCTGTAGTGTGAATGAATTTGATGAAAATAAATTTCGTTTCGACATGAACTAATTTTGACCATTAGTCGATCCATTAGTCGATTTTCTTTCAAATGTTTCAGAAAGTTGCTATGTCGGGCAAAATCTTTCAGTGGTTTAGATAAGTAGATAAATCCATAATTTGGTACCCTTATGTGGGATTACCATATTTAAGGGCACCAAATTAGGGAGGAAGCTGTGTTTAGTAGATAGCTCCTGAGTTTGGTATCCATAAATATGGTAATCCCATATAAGGATATCAAATTAGGGAGCTGCCTACTAAGCAGCTAAGAAATTTAAATTAACAAAAGCCCTCTTCTTAATTTTGTTCTTTCAGTTGTTTAGTAGACAGCTCCCTAATTTGGTAGCCTTATGTGAAATTGCCATATGTAAGGATAATAAGGAAAGGGATCTACTATACTACACAACAGTTCCTTGACACCTTTCGAGGACTTTTCCTTTGAATGAGATAGCTGTCTCATTATGCAGGCAGAAGAAGCAGGTAAATATGTTTTGCTTTGTCTTTTCTAATATCTACCTTCTTTGTCTTGCCTGAGTTTGCTATGCCCACCCGAAGGGATACTGAATTAACCAATCAATGTCCTATCTCTTGGGATCATGGAAAACTGGATTGCACTTGTATGGTTAGTACATTCGGCCTATATTTGGCCGCGTTACATTGTAGTTCCTGGTTCAGTAAATTCGGTTACATTCAGCTACACTAAAAGTTCTCTTTGATAGTAATACTTTAGACCTATGTTCAGCCATGTTACATTTTCATTCAGGTTCAGTTCATCCGTTTACATTCAGCTCTGCTAAATTTTCACATTGATTGTAATACCTTAGACCTATATTTGGCCCGCATTCTGCCATGATATATTTTTTTCAAACTCATTAATTTAAGCATACTTTCGGCCATTCTACATTCATTTTTGATTTAGTACTTTTGGCCTGCATTTGGCCACAGTGGCTTTACCTACCTCCATCGAGCCACGCAGACCTCCTCCTGTCGCATGGAGCAGTCGGAGGCACACTGAGGAAGACTCACCTCCCTTGAACTGCGCAGACCTCCTCCTGCCGCGCGGACCGACCGCTTCACACGGCTGCGCGGCACACTGAGGGAGACTCACCTCCCTCAAGCCGAGCAGACTTCCTCCTGCCGGCAGGACATCTATATATAGATATGGACATGACATCACGCCCACACTTAAATCTGTTTTGGATCGCAGTGATGACATGGAGCTATCAGAACATAGTTAAGCCTATTTAAGGCTTGTTTTAACCCCTATTGTGGTTTCTGTTAGATCCTCGTTTAGTGCTCCTAAATATTCCCTTGTGATTTCTGGTATCCTGACCTCAGCTTCATATTTGACTCGTGATTTCTGGTATCCTGACCCAGCTTGCTCTTGACTTTGTGTATTTCTGTATCCCTTTGTGTATTTCTGTATCTGATTTATCCTCAACCTTGATTCTCGCTATATATATGCGTTAAGTTCAGCCATTCAAAGGCTCGGTAATAAGTTTTTCGGTTCCACCTTTTGTGGGTTTTCTCTTTTCTGCGTGTTGGAGTACAACTCCTGTGACAGCTACGCTATATTATAATTTATATTCAGTTAATCTACGGCCTACGTTCAGCTAATCTACGTTTGGCCTATATTCCGCTGCACACGAATTTCTTTCATTTTAAACCTTGTTCAGTCATGCTACCTGCTATTAGGCATTTACATATAATTTGTTTTATCAGTTAGTTTCCAGGTAGTTTTTCCCATCTATTATTACTGTGCTGCATCCCTAAGTGTAATTTATACTAAGTGTCCTACTTGTGCTTTTATGAACCTACCTGTAGCGGAGCTCTCTGTACCCGGCTGGGTACCTCCCCCTTCCTAGCTGGAACCGGGGAAAACCTCAGTGCTTCTCCCCCAGTCACCGTCGCTTGACTGGGGCCCTCATGGAGCCTCTTCATCCTGGAACAGGATAGGTGCCTAACTCTATTTCCTCCCATGGACTGGGTGACAGACGGTCCTGGGAGCTATAGTTCTTACAAGGACTTTCCCTCACTGAGTCCTCCATAAGCTTGAACAAGGTGCTGAACAGTGAATAGCCCTTTCCTCTCCCAGTAACTAGATGACACATAGTTCTGGGAGTAAAGCTGATTTTAATGAGCCAGACTCGCCCTTTTATGCACAGACTCCTGCAAGGGGTCTCCAAGCAATCAATCCAAGCCCCTCACAGGAATATCTGTGCCGGGGAGATAATTGAGTTAAAGTGAAAGTTAATTATCTCCCAGGAACAGAGAGCCAAATATAAAAACATAAAAGTACCCCAAAACATCATAAAAACATACAACAACTCCACATGTTCTACATCCCAAGACAGCCCTGATCTGAGTGCCCAAGTTGTTCAAATAGCGCTCAGATCCATGTAGTGTAGGGTAAACGCCACCGGGGCAAAGTTCTAACTAGCCACACATGTGGTCCTTTTGCCGGTCAACTTTCGGGAGCTCCTGCGGCAGAAATACGGGGTACTCTGCCCGGTTCTCATGAAGATTTTCTTCCTCTTAGTCTCAGGCACCTTCCCTCCAAAACGTGCTCTCCTGCTGGGTCGGTCGCAAATTGGTTCTAAACCCCGGACCAGGTCACCTAGCCGAAAACAGCTCCATAACATTCGCGGCTAAGTACCGCTGAGGACCGTTCGTGGATTAGTTCATGTGAACGGCTGCCAGACAGCTAGGGTTTGGTTCAATTCATGAGAAGGAAAAGTGGCGAACCAGGGGTACAGAGGGAAAGCTGCTAATGGTGGATGGGCAGAGTAACTCCCAAACGAGGTCTAAGACCTGGACCATAGTATTTGGGCAGGTGGCCAGCTTTCACACTCCTCCAGGAGTTCATGGCAAACGTCCATGGAAAAGAATGTTTGTCACACTACCTATTGTGCGTTAATTGTTGATGACGTTACATATTTAGTTTACTACAGCATACTTCAAACTAAACCTCTCACACCTAACAGTAAATTATGATATCCAACTTATTTATCATCTGCTACGCACTTTACATCTAAAGCCACAAAATTACCAGAAATTAACCATTAAAATATTTACGGCTCCAACACCGCAACTCCTATCATTCTTAGTCTAACATTTAGCGTATGAGAGCCCTGTCTCTTGTTTGTCCTCTGGTATCAACAGAAACATTACATACTGACAATACATAGAAATGCACCCTATGCCTGTGTCCACAGGCAATTCCGCACTCCTCAAATTGGTATTTGATACTGAGCTTCCTCTATTGCTAGGAACATGCGTTCATCACATTCATACTTAATTACTAAGCTATCTCTATTCACGTAGGACACACGCTCTTCAGACTGTTTTTTATGAACGAACCTCCACTTTTTCAGAGGTCACACACTCATTAGTTTTGGTATTTGGTTACTGAGCTTCCTCATTCACATAGGACACACACTCAAAACATTTCATAATACTATTCTACGATTCCCGCTCATCAAATCTGTATTTTTTACAAAGCTTCCTCTTCCTCTTTTGCAATGGACACACGCTCGTCATATTGGTATTTTTTACGGTGTTCCTTCTTTCACAGAGGTTACATTTCCTTATATAGACATTTGTCACCGAGCTCCCTCTTTTTCTTTTTGTTATAATCTTTATTAGAATTTTTCTTTGTGTGTGTACAACAAAACATATAGAAAACTGTGACAATATGCGGCATATAATATTTATGCAATTAGCCAGTACATGATATATATTCATATGTTGTATAAAAAATATATGTTGCTGCAGTAAACTGTACATCAGATCAAAATTTGCACTTTTAATTTACTAAAACTATAGGCCATCATATATATTGACAGACATACGCACGAACAATAACAGCCACAGACAGAAGACAAAAGAAGACAGACTGCTTATCTCTAAAATGCCAAGAGAGAGGGGATTAACTTTTATCCAGGCTTTCAGAATTAACTTGTATTTTGAGACTACATTTTCAAATTTGTTATTGCTTATCCTGTCCAAGGGTATAAGCCATATGGAGGAGAATTGCACCTATTACAGAAATATACTAATAATTAAATTTTGGACATTTCTGTTAATTCAATTCTGTTAAATAGTCAAACATTTTCCTTAACTTCACCAAAGCTTTTCTGAATATCTTCATAGTTACATGACTGAGGTTGGGTTTTTATTTATTAATTCCCAACATGTATTCCAAAGAGATGATTTCTTACTAACATTTTGTATACTGAACATTTGTTCCATTTTGATCTGAAATTTAAGTTGGTTTTTGACTTGTGACCAAGGAATAATATTTCCATTTTTCCAGTTTCTGGATATGACAATTTTAGTAGCTAAAAATAAGTGGGTTATAATTAGTTTGTTCACCGGGGACATAGAGGGCCAATTTAAGTAAAGTAAAGCTTCTTCTGGAGATAACTTTAATTTGAAGTTTAAATTTGTTAAAATAAATTGATATATTTCTTCCCATAGTATTTTTTTTTTTTTTATACAGTTCCACCAAATATGAAAATATGTGCATATAGATATCCCACATCTCCAGCATAGACGGTCTTCTGTAGGGAACATGTTGTGTATTCTTTCTGAAAACTAAATGCCATCTGTTAATTACCTTAAATTGAGATTCTATTAGGTTTAAAGAATGTGTGATTTTAGAGACATTTGTCAAAGAAGATCCCCAATCTCTCATTTCTATATTGATATTCAATTCTTTTTTCCATGTGCCTAAAGCTGTGGGTTTATTTTCCTTCATAAGGGATCTGCTTAAAATAAAGGCTTTTGAAAATGGTTGTTCTAGGGGGTTTGAGTTAAATAGTATTTTTATTCTATTCACCAATAACAAATCTGATTTTATTAAATGTGATGTTAAAAAGCTTTTTAATCTTAAAAAGTTGAATAGTTCTTTTGATGGTAAATTAAATTCACTCATCAGTTGGGGGAAAGATTTGTGCTCCATTTTTTCATAGCTGAGAGATGCTATTTATCCCTTTTTGCCCACTTATTTAAATTTAGATCACAGACTGTTCGATCAATTTCAGATCAAGGTGGGTTGAAATTTTATTTCTGATCTTTAAAGTTGCTTTGATTTTTTTTCCAGTTCCTCAGCTGATGTCTTATTGTATTGGGATAATTTATTTTCCCTATCAATATTGTGTTCCAGACCAAACCTTCAAAATGTTTGACTTCCCATACTTTAGCCTCCATAATATACCATCCTTCATTATTTTTATTAGTTAGCTGCATTCTATAAACATGCAATCTTATAGATGCCATATATTTATTCTTAATAAAAGGATATCCCATACCTCCCTTATTCATCTTCTGAGGTAGGGTAATTTGACATAGTCTTGGTGTTTTGCCTTTCCTTCCATATATATTGCATAAAACTATTTTGAATAATTTCAAGCCAGCTGTTAGAGATATTTAATGGTAACATCTGAAACCAGATAGTTCCATTTAGGGATGACATATCAATTCACCACATTAACTCTTCCCCTAAAAGTTATCTTTAGGTTTTTGCGTTCTTTTAGCCATCTATTGGTATTTTGTAAAAGATCCAAAAAATGTATCTCCATGGTTCTATTGGTTTCTCTTGTTAATCAGATATCTAAGTAATTGATTTTTTGTTGTTTCTTATGTTGCTAGCCAACGGTTTAATAGAAAGCAAATATAATTTTGGATAAAGAAGACACCCTTGACGTTTTTCAATAGGAACCATGGGAAGCATACATTCAGACCTTTTGTGCAGGGTTTTGGATTGACATATAGAGCCATAATAGCCTTCTTTATCCAACCCCAAAAGCCACATTGTGTTAATGTTGCCTCTAAAGAGTTCCACTTGACCCTGTCGAATGCATTCTCAGCATCAACCGACGGTCAACAGTGGGACCATTCCCCTAGAGGCATCATCCAGAATGTTTATTATTCTTCATATACTAGTAGAAGGAGTTGTCCCTGGGACATAACCTATTTGATCCTGGTGTATTGTTGGTAGTATTTTTTTTTAACCTGGTTGCCAAAATGGAAACAAAAAGTTTAACAACTACATCTATGTAACAGATCCCCCTGGTTTTTTTTTTATGTTTAGCCCGAACGCAATATTGTTCGATCAGTAATATTGTGAACAAGTCATCCGTTTAAAAACCTTCATCTAAATTGACTATAATGGATGCTATCAACAAAAGCCGTTTGAAATCCGAATCCGTTTGCACGAACACGTGGCAGCGGCCATTTTGTTTAGTTGAACACACTCAGCGGTGTTTTGTCGTCGAACGCGTGGAACCATTTTCGGCTATTCTTTTCCACGAACACCGCTGTAACTTCCATCTTCCTTGCGTTCGGCTAAACTCATACGGACAGATCGCTCTTTCGCCAGAATAAACTCCCGAACAAGCCGCTTCTAAAGAGACTAAACACGAACCGATCCGTTCGTGCAATTTGAACTTTATCCGAATGGGAAAATAGACCTACCGCTCAGCCTGAATCTGTGGAACTGTTTTGGGCATACAAACAAGCGTGCGGTCGATCCAAAGAGACTTTTATCTATCTCCCGAACCCCTGGACGGATTCATGTTATTTTTACATATGTTGTTCCCCATGTTATACTGATTATAAAAAATATAAGTTTTATTTGTATACGATGTAAAATCAAGAAATTATGAAAATGAAAAAAAATGATTTTTCAGCTTGGAGATAATTGAGTAGATACAGTAAGTAACTCAATTACCTCCCAAGCAAAGGGGAGGAAATATGTGGATTGTAACCATTGTTTGATTGGTCAATGTATAATTGTCTGTGGGTGTCTGCAATGCAAACCTCAGTTCTTCTTCACCCTCCCTGTCTATTTTTTATAAACCCAACTTGGTCGGTGTGGATTATGTGAGGTAGTATCTTGCTGAGGCGCGTTGCGTATATATTTGCATTTAGTTTAGCATCCGTATTTAACAGTGATATGAGGCGGAAATTTGGTGGGCAAGTGGTGGTTTTCCCTGGTTTTGGGAGAGTGATGATGTGGGCCATCAGGGTCTCAGTGGGCAATTGTTGTGTGTGTGTGGCTTCATTAAACGCCCTTGCCAAGTGCGGCGTTAGGGTTTCATGAAACTTTTTATAGTAGCTGTTAGCAAAGCCATCTGGGCCCGGGGATTTACCTATTGGTAGGTTCAGGATAGCTTCCTTTACTTCTTTGTGTGTTATAGGGGCGGTGAGTTCCTGCTGTTGCAGCTGCGTGAGGGGGGGTAGTGGTATCGTGTTTAAGTAGTCTTGTATTTCTTGGGAGAGTGGTTGGTGCGTTTGTGTGTCTTTGGCTAGGTTGTATAACGACGTGTAATATTTTGCAAAAATTTTGCTTATATCTTTGGGTGCTGTGACTTTGTGTCCCGCTTCTGTGTAAAGGTATGCAATCTTTTGGTTGGTTTGTTTGGCTTTGAGGTGTTGGGCTACCAGTTTACCAACTCTGTTGCCCTGGGAGTATTGAGTCGCTTTAAGTCTATGTAGTTGGTGTCCCGTTTTTTCTAGGGCCTGTTTATGCATATCTTGGGTGATTTTTATTATGCGGTTTTTCAGCTCCTTTGTTGGGGCCCGTTGGTTTTGAGCCGTTAAGCTCTGGAGTTCTTTATGCCATTCCCTCATTTGTGCCTGTGCTTGCCTTTTTAGATGAGCTGCTCTCTGTATCAGCATACCCCTAACTAATGATTTGTGCGCTTGCCATATAGTGTTGTGTTGCATGTGGTCTATAGCATTCTCAGTGAAATAGTGCTCAAGTTCTGTTTCTACCGATTGTACGAATGTTGGGTCTGTGAGCAAGGAGTCATTTAGTCTCCACGGACTCCTGTGTGTGGATTCATATAGGTAGGCTAGGGTTGCCACCACTGGGGTGTGGTCTGACCAGGTAATCTGTTCTATGATACATCCCTTAACCTGTTCTATGTGCTGGCCAGTTATTA